GCTCTGCGCCCTGGCCGGCGGCGACGGGCGCCTCCTCCTCTTCGCTCTGGGCCGCCCCGGGGCCGCCGCTGGGCTGAGGCTGTTCGAGGGGGCCGTGCGCGGGTTGAGCTGGGCCCCCCGCCCCGGGCTGCCCCCCGGCTCCGCCGCCCTCCTGGCCTCCGGACCCGACGGGGAGATGCTCTGGCTGGACATCACCCACCGCCCCGGGCAGGCACCCGGTGTGCGGCTAATGGGACGGTACCAGCTGCCACCCTGCAAGCAGCGCTGGCACACCTGCGCAGCCTTCCTGCCCCAGGGCGGGCTCCTGGTCTGCGGGGACCGCCGGGGCTCCCTCCTCCTCTTCCCTTGCAGCAGCTCCTCGGGGTGGGCTGCGGAAAGCACCGGCGTTGCCGATGGTGGCACCAACCCAGTCGGCGAGGACTCCGGCAACGAGTCAGAGCTCTCTTGCTTGTGGCATAAAGGGGCTCTTCCCCTCGAGGCCCCGCTGTCCGTGCTCTTCGGGCTCCACGGGAAGATGGGGGTTACCTCGGTGACCTGCCACAAGGGCTACATTTACAGCACCGGCCGGGATGGTGTCTACCGCCAGCTCTGCCTGCAGGGCCAGCAGCTGGAGGTCCTGCGGAAGCACAGGCCCTGCAAAGGGCTGCAGTGGATCGAGGACCTGCGCTTCACACCGGACGGGGACCTGCTCGTGCTGGGCTTTCACGCTGACAACTTTGTGGTGTGGAGCAGCAGGACCAGCGAGAACCTCCACTGCGTCCCCTGCGGTGGTGGGCACCGCTCCTGGAGTTACTGCGGCAACCCGTCGGCCGAGGCCTTCGCCTTTGTCAAATGTGGGGACGTGATGCTGTACCACCGCGAGGCTGAGCCCCGTGAGCAGCAAGTGCTCCTGGCATCCCTGCATGGGCGGGAAATTGCTTGCGTGCGGCGCCTGGGGGCTGTTGAAGTGCCCGGCCATGCTGCCCTTAACATCTTCATCACCGGCAGCGAGGACACCACGGCCTGTGTCCTGGCACTCAGCGAGTGCTCCCGGGCAGCCATGCCCCTCACCCGGCTCAGTGATCACATTTCTAGCGTCAGGGCACTGGCTCTGGCTGGCGACAAGGGCTTCAGTGACGAGAATTTGTCTGCCCTGCTCTTCTCTGCGGGTGGCCGGGCGCAGATGGAGTGCTACCGGCTGCTGTGTGTTGGGGACCCAGCCTCTGAGAGCACTGTGGCCTGCCAAGTTGTTCATGTGGCTTCCCACCGACTAGATGAGCACTGGGAACGGAAGAAGAACAGGCACAAGCTTGTCAAGATGGACCCAGAGACAAGGTGATGCTTGGGGACCACCTGAGGCAGGGTTAGTGGTGACTGGGGTTCAGGGGGTTGCTGGGAACCATGCTGGTCTCCTCTGGGATGCCTGCTCTGCGTGGCTGCAGGCTCAGCCAAGGTGGAAGCAGCCAGCATGGCTTTGGGTGCGTGTCCCTGGTGTACTGTGTGCAGTGGCTGGGCCTTGAGAGGCTTTTGGGGTTAAGGATAGGTTCAGTCTTTCCTCTTGCCTCTTCTGAGTGCTTGGAGCTTGGTCCCGTGCTGGGCCACCCACCTCCCCAGAGCCACAGGTTTCACCGAGGCATCGATGAGCATCATCTGTTTGCTGCAGGTACATGTCCCTCTCGGTCGTGCCCGGGACCAGCACCAAGCAGCTGCCGACACCCTGGAAGTTCGTGGCTGCCGCCTGCAGCGATGGATCAGTCCGGTGAGGAGCTGTCACAGGGCCTGGGCCTGGCAGGGAGAACTGCCCTGGGGCTGGCGACAGGAGAAGAACAGGTTCCGCGGGGGAGGCTGCTTACGTGCCTGTGGCTGGCTTCGAGCTGGGAACAGGACAGTGCGCGGTGGGAAGTTGGAGCAGAGGCACCAGGAGCCACCTTCTGCACCTGACTGCCCTCTGCTCCATCACAGGGTCTTTGGGCTGCTGGAGGCCGCTCGCAAGCTGGTGCTGGTGGCAGAGTCGTTTCACCACCAGCGCTGTGTGCTGAAGGTGGAGGCGTTCCTGCACACACGGGCAGGAGGGGAGAGGTGAGCCCTGAACGCTGCACTGCAACCGATGGGGCTCTGGGAAAAAGCGTTTGTCCTCGCAGGGACAGCGGGTGGTGGGAAGGGAGAAATCAGTCTGCAGAGGCTGGTTCTGCCACTTCTCCACATCTCAGCGGGGACCTTGGGCTGCAGCCAGAGGCTCCCCCAACATCTCCCTTCTAGGAGGCACCTCCTGTGCAGCGCAGCCACCGATGGCAGCCTCGTCTTCTGGGACATCACCAGCCCCATCGTGGATGCAGCGGATGCCCTGCGCCGAGCGGAGGGAGAGATGCAGCCCCTGGGTGGGTGCAGCTGCCAGCGGCTCTGCTCTGCCTCGTACAAGAGGCCGTGCTGGTGACTCCTCCCTCTGACCAAGGTGAGCATCTCTCCTGACCGAGCCTGTTTTTGCAGCCCTGGGCACCCCGCTGCTCACCATCACGGCCCACAGCTGCGGCGTGAACAGCCTCCACATCCATGAGACACAGGAGGGCCAGTACCTGGTGGCTAGCGGCAGCGACGACGGCTCCATCCACGTCTGCCTGCTGGAGGTGGACCTGGGCAGGGGCGAGGTCGCAGCGGGGACCTGCCTGCACCTCCTGGAGCGGGTGGCCAGGCCCTGTGCCCACGCTGCCCACGTGACGGGGATCCGGGTGCTGCGGCCGGACCTGCTGCTCTCCGCCTCGGTGGACCAGCGCCTGACGCTGTGGCGCCGGGGCCCAGATGGGCTGGATGCCCTCAGCACCACCTTTTTCCACGTGCCCGACCTGGCCGAGCTGGACTGCTGGGAGGTGGTAGAGGCCAGCGGTGAGCTGAGGTACTACTGTGTGCTCTGTGGGCAGGGCCTGGAGATGCTGCATGGCACGGTCCCCCCCTGAGCCCCCCTTTGCCGGATGCTCCCCAGTAATGGGGCAGGCACGTGGTGCACCCCTCTCCCAGGCTCCCCGCACTCGTGCTCTGCCTGTCACCGCAGTCCTTGTCCCAGCCTGTGTGCTGGTGTGTCCCCTCTTGAGGGGATGGGTGCGCTTGGGTCCCTCAGGGACAGCACAGCCACATCTGGGGTGCTCAGGGGTGGCAGTCTCAGGGGAGATGGCAGATATGACCCCTCCTGGACAAGTCTGCAGCCCTCCCAGGCAGTAAAGGAGGAGTGGGGTTGTCAGCCCGCCCGCCCTCCCCGGGAGACATCCCTCCTCCCCGAGGTGCGAAGGACCCGTGTCCAGGCTTTCCAGCCCTGGTCCTAGAGGAACCTACTCAGGAGAGCACTGAGCACAGCGCCCAGCCCCAGGAACTTGAAGGCAGCAGGAGACCCAAGCCTGGTCAGGCGCTGATGTGGCATGTGGTGGGCTGCAGCCTCGTGCTCAGACAGGGCCCCATGTGACAGCCCTGACCCTGGCAGTGCTGGGGAATTCTGAAATGAGTGGGCACCCTGATTCTCCACAGCAGCACCCTGCAAGGCAAGGGGGAGTAGCCCACGTGTGCCGGGGCAGCCTTGCGCCTCCCACACCCCCCCTCCTCAGAGCGGCCCTTCAGCGGTGGCTCAAGCTCAGCAGGTTGTTCCTGCACAAGCAGCAGGACCCAGCACAATCAGAGCACAGGGAAGGACAAACAGCCTCATGTGGGCACAGCCCTGTGTGGGGCAGGGTGCTCCATTGGGGTCAGACACACAGAACATTTGTCCAGCAACAAGTGTATTGGACCCCAGTACTGGGGAGAAGCCCAAGGCCCTACAGGAGCCTTGAGCCTCAGGAGCTCCCTGCCAGCACGGAGCAACTTTCAATAAACAATTTTGAGGGAAGCGAGTTTGGTGCTTGGCTTTGTGGTGACTGGTCCTTGGTGCTGCCTCCCCCAGTACATCCCAGTCTGGCTCTCTGGGTGCCACAGGCCTCTTCCCTTTTGCACTGGCATGGGGTGCATGTAGCCAAACCCCCAAACCACGTGGGCAGTGGGATGGGAAGCACCTGCGTGGGGCTGAGACCCGCCTGATGGTGTGGCAGCCCCTTGCCCTGCCAGGGAGGACGTGCCCTGTCCTTCCCCTCGTGGCATGTTGTCGGGGTGTCTGTCACACCATGGCACAGCTCTTCAGTGGTGGCTCAGATCTGACTGAGAGGAGGGAGGTGCAGAGTTGCCAGTGCGCTGTGGAACACGTCCCTCACTGCTCCCATCAGCCGGAGGCGGGCAAACATCTGGTCAAAGAGATGAGGGAATGGCTCCTGCAGGGAGAAAAGTAGCGACTTGGGGCTGGTGGCTGTATTGCTGCTCGATGGGCTGGTCCTAGACAGCCTGTGGGTGCTGGTGTGGGGCTGCATCGCACAGTTCACACAACTGCCTCACAACTGCAGTCCAGCCCCGGGAAGGACTGCAGGGCCACAAGCCTACAGGCCTGGGACGTCTGACTCACCCCCAGGATGTGGACCCGGTTGTAGTAGGAGCTGAAATCCATGCTGAGCTGGATCAGGAACTTGCACACCTGCAAGACGGAGAGTTTCTGCAGGCAGGGCCTGGTCTGGCTGGTCTTGGGTCCTTCTCCACCCCAAGCAGAGCAGGAGCAGCCCCAGGGGTGTTGCAGTGTCCCCTCAGCACTGCCTCTGCGACGCAGCTTTGTGCTGGGCTGGGACTTGGAGCAGCACCCATGGGTGCTATGGCACGTGGCACTCACTGTCTCTGTGTTGGCTGTGATGCGGATCCCCTTGGTGGGGGCAGGCAGCTGTGCTGCCTGCTGCAGGACTTCAGGGAAAGGCAGGAGATAGTTGAAGAGCAGGAGCCATTCACCCTGTGAAAAGATTATGTGTGTTGGAGAGGGCTGGATCGTCCTGGGCCATCACTGGAGCAGAGTGGCCAGGTCCCTGCATTCCCCTTCTCAACACTCACCTCTTCCCTGAGGCAGGAGTAGTTCAGCTCTGATGCTGGTGGCAGAGGTGGGTAGGTACCTGAAAAGGAATTAGGAGGTGGTGGTTGTGCCTGGAGAAGTCCGGGGTGGTTCCAGGTGTGAGGAACAGCCCGGGAGTGGCTGTCAGAGGAGGGTTTTGGGGCTCACCCCGCTCCACAGCCCGCTGGTAGGTGTCAAAGAGCGTGGCCAGCCGGGCACAGTTGTACATCACAAAGGCACCGCTCTTGGTTCCCTTTGTGGAGATGCTGCTGTCCTGCAGGTCCAGGGTGATCTGAGGGCAGGGAGAAGTCACAGTCCCGGCTGCTCAGCGCAGAACTGCTCTGCTATTCCATGACGCCACGGTTTGCCTGCCCTGGCTCTGCACAAACCTCTGCCTACCTGACTGCGGTGAGCAGTGCCCAGCATCTCGAACCTGATGGCAGCTGCGGTGAGGCCATCGATCACCTCAGTCCAGGCCTCATCTGCGGAGAATCAGGTGGCGTCACACACCCCTTGCTCTGTTCCCATGTACTGTCACCCCCAGCACCCAGGCAGGACCCCACCCTGAGGCCAGGGGGCTCTGGTGGAAGCTGGGGACCACCACCCTGCCCTAGCCCTGGCCCCCAGTGCTGTTGCCCAGTTTAGGCACCTTCCCCCAAGTAAGATCAGCACCCAGATCCATCACTGGGGAAAAAACGCCAGGCAGGGGAAAGCCCCCCTGACTGTAGCTTTGGGGCGAGGAGGGAGGCTCATGGGAGCAGAGGAGTTGGGAATGGAGCTGCAGAGCAAACCCTCACCTTGCGCAAGTTCCCCGTACTTCATCACAGAGGCTTCGTACATCTGGTGCCTTCGGAGCCTGGGAGGAACAAAAGACACTCACAGCCACCATTCCTGGGTTGAGCTGGTCCCAGAGAGCACCCCGGGACTCCCCTAGACTATTCAGCAGCCACCCAGCAAAGGAAAAGTGGTACAAAACCTCCAGGAGCTGGGGCAGGGACAGCCCCTCGAGCTGCTGCCTGGAGAGGGTCGCAAGGAAGCTGCTGCGCCAGGCACAAGCTCTGCCTTTAGGCTGAGAAAGGGCTGCCCCCACCGCTAACCCATGCAGGCAGGGAAATACCCTGCACTGCCAGCTCCAGCTGCTGCCTGGAGAAGGGGGCAGAAGCAGCACTGCTGGAGACCGCTGGGACTGGGGAGGGCCCTGTGGCCTCCATTCTGCACCTCCGGTCCCCTCAAAACAGCCCTGAGACCATGGAAAAGCAGAAGGGAGGGACTGGCACTGAACTCCCCGTGCACCACACAGGGCCAGGCAGAGCAGAGGAAGCCTTACTGGAAGTACTGGTCTGCCCCGATGGGCGATGAGGGGTTTGTCACCTTCACTGGCCCACAGACAAGGTGTTTCTGAAAGAGAAAGGAGAGGCCGGGGCTGGGGTCAAAGACTCAGAAGCTCCACCAAAATGCAGGTCAGGAGAAGTGGGTTAAAACCAGCCCTGTTCTAGCTGTGTCCCACAGTTTTCCTGCCCCTTCTGCAGCATTGAAATCCCAAGGGCAGAGAGGCTGCTCCGCCACCTGGGCGAGAGCATGGAGGCGCTGCAAAGGGAAGGGGAAGCCTCTCAAAGGGGCAAGGCTGGGCCTCAGCATTTGCTGCAGGGGTTGAAGGAGGCTGGCTGAGCACAAGGATGCTGGAGGCCACAGTGCGGAGGGTCGCGGGTTCCTCACCTGCAAAGCCGTGTGGGCTCCTGGATCCAAAATCCTCCAGAGCAGATCCAGCTGCTGCTGCTGGAATTCCTCCTCGCAGCTCACCACGTGCACGATGCTGCAGCAGCTCCCCTGGCCTCCGGCCTGCAGCAGAGCACAGCAGGGAGCCCAAATCGGGTCACAGGAGGGAACAACGTCCGGAAGGCCAGAGGCGGGCAGCACGGCAGGGTTACTCACCGTGCACTGCAGAACGGCTTGCTGCAGCTCAGCCAGGGACCGCAGCTTCCCCTCTGTCACTGAAAGAAGGAAGGACACTCAGAGCAGGGCACGAGGGTTCGCTGCCACCCCCCCGCCATCCTGCACCATCCGGTCTGCCTCAGGCTGTTTGCATTTCTGGCTCAAACCAGACTGGAGAGGAATAAGAGGAGAAGGCAATTTAGATTTTAACCCCCCCTTATTTTCTGTAAAAACCATTGGAAAAAAAGTCCTGTCTGCACCCCCACCCTGCTGTCACGCTAGAGCTGCTGTACATGCAAGGCTCACCGAGAAGGACATCTAGGTTGGGGTCGTAGCCTGCCAAGCCCTGCTGCTCCACAAAGCTCTTCAGGTGCACCTTACAGATGACATCCTCAGGCAGCGCGGCAGTGCCTGGCCCCTGCTCACAGGCTGTGGCACAGGGGGACTGGCCCAGCGCTCGCTTCAAGGCTGAGACATTGTCGGAGAGAGCCGAGCCATCGGAGCCACGGGGCCACTCGACATGGAGCTGCTGCAGAACCTCCCGCCTCGCCTCCTCGGCCAGCGCAGGGACCAGGCAGACGCCGACCCTGCGAGAGAGCGGAGAGGCGGGTGCTGGCAGCGCGG